GCCCGGCGGGGGCGGCGGGGCCGGCTGCCGCCCCCCCGGGGGGCGAGGCGGGAGAGTCGCGGGGCACCTCCGGGGAGCGGAGCAGCCACGGCGCGGGGGGCGGGCGGGGAGGCGCGACGCCCCCCTCGCCTTCCCGCCGCTTTGCCCTTCGGTGGTGTCAGGGTGGACTGGGTGGCATCGAGGCCTCACGTTATGACCTTGGCAACGGCAGTGAAGGGCCTGGCCCTCCTAAGGGCCGCGGCTGCTCTGGAGGAGGAGAGGGCATGCGAGATTAGGGGAAGGAGGATTCGTCGGCCAAACCAACCCCGTTTTGAGCCAAGGAAATACAACCGTAGACGCCGCCTAAAAGCTCAAACATAAAGGGTAGTGCTGAAAGTCATTTTCCACAGAAAGAAACCAGCTGGCCGGCGGGATCAAAAGGAAGGCTCATACACCACCTGGCAGCCCATTCGAAAAGCCGTTTACCCCCAAATCTCAAAATGAACCAGTTATTTTTAAGTCTGTTGAACCAAACCCAGAAAGCAAACAGCAAGTAAGAGTGGGCTTTGTCCTGGCAATGGCCAGGGTCTGCCTGGTGTTTTAGCTGTCTCTTTCCTCCACCCACTGCCATGGGATGACACAAGACGCACCAGGGCACCAGCCCACCGGGCCAAGCCCTCGGTTCATCTTTTCTTGTGGTGGGCCCCGACGGCGCTGCGAGCAGGGCATCGCGCACCCTTGCCTGGACGTTTCCTTCCTGGTGGGGTAGCTTGGTCAGTCGCCAGGTCCCGTCTCCTCACCAAAAAAACTGGCACCGCTTGCGCTTGCACCGTGGGGTAGCACATATTGGCTTCTCTCCCGCTCCCCAGCCTCCCAGGCCAGATGTAAAGAGTGAGAAACTACAGCACGGTGCTGGCAATGCACGCTTTCTAGTCGGTAGCAGATGAGATAAAAGCACTGGAGCCTCACATCATGGGCTGGCTTTTCTTTTTTTAAAAGTTCCAGTTTCCAACATGCTGTGGTTGATGGGTGTTTACAGGTCTGCGTGGGCGCTGAGCCCCACCAGCACCAGTCAGCCCTAACCCTGGACCAAGGAAATCACAGCTCACATCAAAGACAACTTCTAAGGCCTGAAGTAGCCACTCAAACATATTCAGGAAACTGAGCTGAAGACCTCCAAGTTGGGCAAAACCCAAACAAGGAAGCTAGGGATTTCATTTTCAAAATTGCTTGAACTATGCTGTGAATTAGTATTTGTTCTTAAAACTCTGTGATTTAGTTTCTCTTAAGCTTCTTTGTTCCCTCTGCCTCTAATGTTGCACAGAAATTATGTTTACTTCAGCAAACAGACAAATAAAACCCTGCAGGAGGGCACATACAGGACTGCAGCCAGACTGGGCTTTTGCCTTCCTCCCAGGATGCCCATGGAAGCTATAAATGGTTCCAGTCCCTGGAGAAGAGACCTTTCTTGTCCTCGTCTGTGAGTGGGATATTATAGTATCCTATAAATGGCAGGTTAAACCTGAGGGAGTAATTGCTGCTGTTTATTTTCAAACATACTAGAGCTTGGCAAATGAAAAGCAACATCCAATAAAACCTAGGCATGTGAATAATTAAAGCGGCAGCATGGGACAAATAAACTTAAGAAATGAAAAGCATAGGACAAAAAGGAAAAGGAGTTATGAGTGGGCAAGAGAAAGTTAAGGACAACACTGCTGTGGGTTACTTTTCCAAATATGGAATTATTTCTGCAGGAACTGTTATCCTGCAAGACGGCACAACAGAAATGATGTCTCTGCTAATAAATGACTGAAACTACTAAAGAGTGCATTTCTAGCCTTTAAAGTCAAAATGATGTGTCTTTAAACCCAAAATGCTACAGTTCGTGGTAGCCAAACGAAAAATTCTGCTACTTTTATTAAAGCAAGTAAAATTAACTAGGACTCAGCATAATTTAATTTTGAAATAAATTCATTGTATAAGCATCGGTGGGTCTCAGACTCCATAGATAAAAATTTTAAGCCCCTAGGAGCTTTGTCACCATCTCAACTCCTTACTGTGAAAAAAACCCCATCATTAGTGATCAGTGTCTATTGGATAACTGCCAATTTACCTGCTTTTACCCACAAAAAAACGTAGCAGGTTACTTAGTTTCATTACTGCCTAACTACATTAAACTACACCCAGGCATTTGCTACAAAACCAGGCAAGACAGTAATTGGTTCGCTTGCCTGCCAAAGCCCAGGGATCCAGTGCTCTCTAGCTGAGGGGATTTTAAATACCAAAGGACTAGGAAACTTTGAAATGTTTTACTTCAGGTATCTCCCTTTTGTGTCTGCAAAAGAAACACGATATTTTTTTTTCTTTAGTAATTAATCAAAAATGTGGGATGCAGAACACTTTCAAAGTATCAATTCTGTTCTTATTCTATAACCATTCATTCTGTAATTTGAAAGCTTAGAGATAAACTTTCAAAACATTAATCTTCACTCTCTATGCTTGTGAGGCTGTAAGACCCTTCAGAGGTAAGCAGCACAGGAAATCTACTCAGGAAGCAGATGACTCTTGCAGACACTAAATGGAAAAAGTGAATGCACGTACACAGTGCTTATATATTAGTCTCGTCTTATCATCACAAAAGCCACAGTCCTTACAGAAAGTTTATGGGCATTTACTAACACTGTAAAATTAACAACAGAGCAAGTTCCTGCTTGCCTTTTGAGCTGCTGTACCTCCAGAGGTATTTTCTGTATCCACCTCACTTGGCTAACAAATCAGCAGAAGTGTCATTCCAGTCCTCACAGCTATTTAATTCACATGTTTTCTACTCATCAACAAATGGCCAACAAGGTATTTTTAATCCTGCTAGGATGAGTTAAAAGAATTTAATGATTTAAAAAAATGGAGGCAGAGTTTGTAAGGCAGGGAAAGTATATTGTACCAAATCTTCGCTTGTAGAGGTCACAAGGACTTCAAGGGCTACTAGAAAAACCAGACCACCTACGTAAAATATGCAACTGATGTTTAAGTTAACTAATTTTACCTAAGACTTGGGACAGATAAGAACTTACACATGGACAACAGGGGTGGCAACATGGAAGAGCAGTTCTTTAAGCTGCCGTAACTCAGCCATGCTTCACTGTGTGCCTGTGCCCATAATTCAGGTAGAAACTCAGCATCCTGAATTGTGGTAGCATGAACAGTAATGTGGAGAAATAGGGATTTTAATACAATGACTTTTTTTTCCTGGTATACCTTGAACGGCTTTATGAAACCCAGTAGCAAATACTTAGAACAAGATGACAGCTTTTAGATACTTCTGTTGTGGAGGTATTAAAATCTTAACACCTTCCTTCCCCCCCGATATGCAAAAATGGATCATACAACAAAAGGCAAAAAGCAAGCAATGATTACTTTCAGTTGATAAGCTAGAAAACCTGTAAAACTCGTGAGTCTAGCTCCCAGGACATTGCTGGCCTGTTAAACAACACACAGGTGGGGCATATTTGCATGTTTTTCTTATGCTTTGTTAATCCAGAGGTAAACAAGGAAAATATATTCAATTGCACTTCATCCAGACAGAATATGTTGACTGGCAAAGTTTCCTCAGTATTAGCAGCAATAGCTTAAAACATTATGGGCCCAAATCTAGTCATCTTTAACACATAGCAGCACAAATTTTCAGAAGAGGAAGGCAAGGGTAGGGAGAAGGGCAAAATGAGAGGGAAAGGAAAATCCTATTAAATGCTGCATACTTTGATATGGCTTTGCACAATCCTACGGGATCTCTGTTGTCTGTTTTCTTGAAATGGTGCTGTCAGCAACAGTCATTAGGCCTACAGATCCCTATTAGCACAGACCTTGTGCAATCCCCCATGGTCTATGGCCAAGTCTGGATGTAAAAAATTCTGTAAGCCCACTCAATCAAGTAGAGATTTACCAGAGGGAGCTGGATTGGCAAGGTCCCTGCTATCAGCAATCCCAAAGCACTTGTAGCTTGAGGAGACGACATCCTGTGGTATGTCCTGGAGCTCTTAGCTGATCCATTCTGTCAACACCATGTTTCTCAACAGGGACCCAGGCTGACACCGCTGATGACAGGCTCAGGTCACCTGAAGGTGATGCTAACGTTCTAAAAGAGCAAAAAAACCACAGTAAATCCGTTTTTGAAGCCCCTTCCGCACACACAGTGAGAGAGCTGGATTTCTTTCAGACCTGTCTTTTAGAGAGGGAGAAGAGAGAAAAAAAGGTATCAATCACCTTACCTGTGGGCCAGAATGGCAACAGACGTGGGCAGTCACAGCGGGTCGATATTGCCGGACGGTGTGGGAAAAAGGTGGTACAAGTTAGTCAATAAAAGAGAATATATAAGCAAACTAGAAAACTGCGTAAAAATACATCAGCAGTTAAAAACCAGTATAAAACACTAGCTTAGAGGATGTCCAAGATGTACAACAACAAGAAAATCTCACACAGTAAGAATACGGAAAGTTGAAGTTAACGTTAAACTTACTTGCAATTAAAAAAAACTCAACCAAAGGAAAAGTAAGTAGTATTCTCATGCATAGTACATCAGAACAATGCTGGGTGTGTGAAAATAAATAAGTTGAATAACACAATACCTTGTTCATTCATAAAAAGTAGTTTTATCTCTAGCTAACAACTATAAAAATCCAGTATGCTAATATTTATGTATACACTAGCAGCATAGATTCTTCTAATCTTTACAATAACCTGTATTTCTTAGGAAATGCTATTGAACTTCCTAGAAAAACAAATGATGAGTCAAGGTATAGGCAGATGTTACTTGTAAGCCTCTAGAAGGAAAAAAAAAATCCAAACCATTTATTTTCAAAAAGAGTTTGTTTTGGTGCAGAAAGGGAAGAATAGTTAATGTTTACAGTTTAAGTGGCCATCACAATTACATGTTGTCCTGAAAAATTACATCAGGCACTTGAATTGTAAACCTTCATGTATGTGTCTGTACTGCACTGCAGTTACCAAAAAAGCTGTATTCTTGCAACAAATTCTTACTTTCATGTTTAATACACAAAAGGTGTTTTGTCTAGATGAGCCAGCTTTAATGGGGAAAGATAAGCAAGAGAAGTGTGAATGAACAGACAGTTTTACAGTTTTGGATTCAATAAGCCTGAAGCACAGAGGGTGCTCTGAAGATGATGGCAATTTCAGAAGCATTGGAGAAGTTTAAGCACAAGAAAAAATTTGAAAACTTGTACAGTACCTCTGTGAGCAGAGCTGTATAATAATGGGTGGGCTTTACTGAATATCAGGACAGTGAGGAGGAAAACCAGCTAGCTTTCCAAAGCGTGAAATAAAACTACCATATTAAACAGTTGGTGCTGTTTTGGTTGACCAGTCCCTAAATTTATCAACGCGCATACACCATGCTGCTTTCAAAGATAAAAGCTCAGGGCCTAAAAATAACGGACTTTGTAAAAGAGGCTTTTAGGGGGATGGAAGAGGGATATTATCAAATGATCAGGAGACCCCAAGTTAAGGATCTTCTTAGTGGGATATTTAAAAAAGATAAAAATTTAAAGTACTTTTAATAGAATTCAAGCAAGACAACAGAATTTGCTGTGAAAGGGCTCAAAACTCTCCTACTTGAAAAACAAACCATGTGCGCCACCTCCCGGGGTACAAACCACAGAGCAGAGTAACCACCCTCCGCCGTGCTCTCCCAAGATAAGAAACCAACAGTCTCAGGG